AAAATACACATTTTGCTGAAACATGAACACTCATTTTTTTAACAATTATGAAAACATATGAAGCTGAACTTATTTCAAATGTGCACACTCCTGTGCTCAACATCTATTTCAATGGACAAGAATTAATGACCCATTTTCTTTGTATTTCTTCATTTCTCTAAAAACAGAACATACTGGAAGTTATTTCTGGAATGGTATGAATAATTTGATGCAGTGTATCCAACCATGTTTCTTGGAATTAAGTCACAATCCATCAATACAAATGTAAACAACACGATGCTAAATCAATGTCCACTAGCAACATGTGCGCTTCATTTGGATACAGCACAGATGATGAGTCGTCTCCCTTAGTTAGGATCTTATACGTGCTATACTTTGATATAAATTGCTGCCCATCCAGTAGATCTAAAGGATTGGCCTTGAATTTAAAGTACCTTAGCACACTTGAATTCTGTTTTCTTGAAAGCACAAACAACACAGCCAACATATTGATTCAATCGTTTTTGCCGTGGAATGATGAGTTTGGAGTGATCGCTACGAGAACAATCGATCGTGAGCTCGGAGTGATCATTATGTTTCAATTGAATACCAAAACGGGAAAATCAATCACGACTAATGATCACTAACAGTTGAATGAGGCGTTTAGAGGACTCGTGCTAAACCATGACAATGCATCTTCTCGTTCAGCAACATTGATAGTTCTTAAATAAAAGAGCACATGAAAGTGATAGAACTGAACCCTATTCACTCGATCTAGATATGTGTCACTTTTGGCTATTTTTTAATCTAAAAAGGAACTTATGTGGATGTCATTTTCATTCCAAAGATGAGATTGATGAGGCCATAAATGCGTTTTTCATCCATTCCAAGAAATCAATAGCTTGAAGCATTTAAACTTTGGAAAATCCCCCTACAGAAGTGCATTGATGTAGAGGAGACTACTTTGAACACTCCTAAAATTTCGTAATTATGACTTTAAAAACCTACGTGTATCTCAAAAATTTCAAAGGGGCATTTGTAAACATTTGTTTGCAAATAAATTATTTGTAGTTTCCATTATTTATATAATTTGAGTCTAAGGAAACAATGTCAGTTGATGTAGCTTTTATTTTAACAAAGGTGCTTTCACTTAACTAAAACAAGTGAATCAATGTTATGCTTCCTGACACTCAGTTTTACTTGGTATGTCATTTTCCCAATTATATAATTTTTTAGTTTACTTGGCTTTTGTTGGTATCTGAGTATTTATTTTATAGTCTTTATAACATTGGAAAGAATACAGTAATATAAATGTTACTGTATTTGACATTGTAATATACATTGGAAAGACTGCAGTAATATAAATGTTATTAAAGGATATATACAATTTTGAAATACAGTACAAAGTCCGTGATCCGGACTTGTCAGGACTTCGGCGATTCCGGATTAGGTGTTTTTCCGGATTATAGATCATCAATTTAAATCTGGTAAGATGGCATGCAGAAATTATACAATTAAAAAATATGGAAACCGTAATTTATGAAATAAAGAAGCAATTATGAATCTAAAAGGGATATCAAATTTACAAAAAAAAAAAAAAAGGGTTAATATTTATTTGTTTACTTCATTAAACATTTCTTTCAACGCGCATGCACGTGTAATGTATGCGCATTCTCTACGCGTATGCGTAAAATTTGTGGCTTTGAGGTCTGGATTATGGACTTTGTGCTGTATATATTACTAACATAGCCTATATATATATATAATTTTTGTAGTTTTTAAAATTTTTTTAATAATAACATTTATTGTTTAAAATAAATTATTAATATAGATGCAAACACTGGCATTATCCAAAAGATCTACCGAGCACAAGTGTTGTCATTGTTTTCCATAATGAGGGGTGGTCTACTCTTCTACGTACTGTACATAGTGTTTTAAATCGATCACCTCCAGAATTCTTGAAGGAAATAGTTTTGGTGGATGATTATAGTGATAAAGGTAATAACTGGGACTATCAAAATATTAATGACTTGTAATATTCAACAGTAGTAGCATTTTATGTTTATTATATGTAAAAGATGTATAAATATTTATATATTATATCATGTTCATGTATTTTAAAGTTGTAATCAGTTCATGTATTTTAAAAGTAGTTTCAAGTTTAAAGGGTATAAGACATTTTTTTTCCATTTTGAATAGTTAAATATAATTTTCTTATTTTATAATAATTCTATGTTTTAATTGGTTATATTATTATTTATCAGTTGTTTTTTGTATGGGATTTGATTTATATTTATGCAAACTACACAAAAGCAAGTACAGCTAGAATGTTGTATTGGGTACTTATGTATTAACTAGTATCTGTCAAAAATACCTACCCTTTACTCTTGATTCTCTACATGGTGTTCCATATTCTTCAACAGAAATTGGAATTTTTCCCTAAGCCCAAAGGAACAGTTTCCCGAAAGGGCTATTAATTTCATTTTGCACTATCCTCTATAAAATCACTTTTCAAATTGTTCCCACCAAATGTTAGAGCCCTGCGTTATATTTAAAGAAATTAAACAAAGAATTTGCATGAATGTATATGTGTTTCTCGCATTGTGAAAAAACAACGGTACCTAGAGGCATCAAATGTTGAATAACGTAGTCTTCCACTCGAATAGGAACATCTGGAAACACAAATTTGGAATCTGTTTTATTATCTATTTCGTATTTTGTAAAACATTAATAAGTTTTTGTTTAACAAACTCAACAATTTCAAGGGAGCAATAGCAATACTGTACAGGGGGCATTTTTATCTCCAGTATGCGGGATGCATGTAAGCATTCTGTACACCACACCACACATTGGGAAAAATTCCTCCTCATGATTGGATATGGCTTCCGATGGCATCATTTCCTCTACGCTTACGAACACCTTGACTTTGCTTGGGCTCAAAGATACACTTCTATAATGTTTGTTTACATTTTGGTAGCATTACTGAAAGGCTATTACGAGCATTGTATTTTTGTTGCTATGAGATTATATTTCTTACAACACTGTGTGGTGAATTTAATATAAAAAATGTAGTGATTTTTCTCCCTAGAGAGGAAAAGTATTATTTTTTCTTGTGCTAACTCTGTAAATGTGTATTAATATTAAGTTCAGAGATTTTTAATAAATATATTAAACTAAAACCATTCATATTAAAAGTGTTGTGATTATTAATTAATTATGTCATGTTCATTATATATCCATTGTCTGCTGATGCAATCTGCGAAAGTGTGAGACAAGTCAGTTTTCAGAAATAGCAAAAACGACCTTGAAAGCTAACATTACACAAGTACGCAATAAATTCACAATATTTGTAATCAGTCTTAAGTAAAATTTATTTTTTAAGTTAGGCTAATAAAGATTTGGAACAGAGCAATAAAGATACATATTTTAAATCAGATGATATTACTTTATGAATATTGCCCATTTTTAATGTGTAAATCTTTGCATAAAAATAGTATTTGTCAGAGAAGGAAGTTTCAACAGGAAGCCATCTGCAGAATGCTGCAGCCAAATTTTTTCTTTTCAAAGGAAACAAATGATAATTTTTACACTTCCGTGTCACTGAGGTGTGTTAGTCAATGAAAACAAAACCATAAGAACCCCGCCTAAATGTCATTACACCAAGAGGAAACGATGTCATCTGAAAGTATGTCCAATCACAAATATGGAATTTTCCCTATGTGTGTGGCTCGGTAATGCAGGCATATATTCGTGCGGGACTGTGCATCGTAAATTTTAAAGATATGTTCTTTTTAAATGTTTCGTGATATTGCTGTTGAATTGAATTTTATGGTTTAACTACGAAGAACATGATCTTTAATAACACACAAAATGTTTAAAAAAAAAAAAAAAAAAAAAAAAGCTTCTTTGGGCGTAATATAAAATCCAAAAGTTTTCAGATTTTTTATTTTTATATGTTTATTATTTTATTTTTATGTAATAATATTTTTCTGTTTTAACAAAAATACTGGTTACAGTTCCTTGATTATTAAGACAAAACATGGTTTTAAAAAAGAGTTAAACTGATAGATCAGGACTGCTATTTTCTTAACAATCTACCAGTGAATGTTGTTCAACAAAATTTGTTTTAATTTTATACAAAGTTTTTGTGTATTTTAAGATCAAATTCAAGTTTCTCTTCTTCAGATCATCAGGAAGGGAAAATCTCATGGACTGCAACATCATTTACTTAGTCAAATATGCATTGCATCTACAAAATTTTAGAACTTTATAGATACGAAAATTTAGGATTTTGTAAACTTTCGATTATCTATGAACTACAAAGTTCTAATGAAATCAAATTTGAAGAAAACTAAAAAGTAATTCTTAGATTTCATTATAAAATCCTTGTAAATGTATACAGTGGTTGGAGCATTTATGCAGCTAATTCATGTAGCTTTTTTTTTTTTTTTTTTTTTTTTTTTTTTTTAGTTAGGAGGAGGGCTAAGAAAAAGTGGAGATAGCTTCTTTTATTTCAAGATGAACTTTAGAATAGTTAGATCAATTATTTATCTGTATAAATATATATAGTATTTGTCTGTGTGTATGCGTGAGAGTGAGTCTTTTTGCCTATGGAAAGTTTTGTTCATCTCATGATTTTTTTCTGTGGAAAATTTTGTTCATCTCATGTTACTGCATTTTGCATCGTGTTTATGAGATTTCTCAAGAAATGAACACTGAAACTTTATCTGATTAAAAAAAAAAAAAGAAAGTATGTTCTGGAAGTTGTGAACAGACAAGAATGATTTAGATGAAGAACTGAGAATTGGCTAAAGAAAAGTCAGTTAGACAGAGCTCCATCTTGTTGCACATAAAAGACCTGTTTGGTGTATCACTGTACAGGTTTTGGATTGCAAACAAAATCCTTGTCCGAAGAGCATATCAAGACATGCCTCACCAATCATAGTACTATCGAAAAAGGAACCAATCAAACCATGTACTAAGAGACTATGGCACATAGCAACCCCGGTAGATTCACTGCCATGTCCACTTGAGTGTGAGGGTTTTCAGAACCCCTGATATTGACAAATATCAATAGATTTTGTCAGATAGACACAATTGTGGTGGTTATAGTACTATTAAGTTTGAAATGTGCTTTATCAGGCTGCAAAAACTTCCCTGCGAATTTGTCATCCTCACCACCATATGCTGAAACAATTCACACTACTCACAGTACCATTCACAGTCTGTGTTGTTCTCATACATCGCATATAGTAGTTTTGGAATGTACACTTCAGGATGTACTTTGTACTCTTCAGAATGCATCTTTTGCTTGACCGGCTCATCTCACTTTCACATGCTCCCTGGTAAACTGATTTTTGTGGTGATCGGGTGAAATGTTGGTGGTCAGGTGAAATTTTTGCACTATAGACTTGTAGCTGTTCATAATTGGCCATATTTTTCCTTGTGCACATCTTAACAGTTTTGCCAGCTTTGAATTTATCGTGAATGCAGGCAATTGTTCAACGCATTGGTGTGGTGTTCCAAATTCTCTCTGCCACTGCTGTTGTACCACATGAATATTCTCTTACTTCTAGTACCACTTCAATATGGCCTTGCATTCAACAAATGAAAAACAAATCTCAGCCATTGTTGCTATTCAACTGTCTTCTGCTACACTGGCTAATATGACTGGCTCATTCCAACAACAACCACCCGCTCCTATGCGAAATAAACTGCCAGCTTCGCCTACCATAACAACCTTTCTTCAGGTTGTTAAATGCATCCTCACATTCTTTTGTCCACAAAAGCTTTTACTTGCTCTCTGTCAACTTATGAAGGGGTCTTGCAATGGAAGAAAAATCCTTTATGAATCTCCTATAGTAGGTACAAATCCCTAGGAATTTTCTCAGCTGATTGACATTTTCTGGGTGTTTCCAGTCTATAACAGCTGACACCTTTTCAGCATCCATGCACACACAGAGATGATATGTCTGAATAAATAGTCTGAGGTAAGTCACTTCCTGTCTGAATAATTTGCATTTAGTGGGACTCAACTTTAGATTGCTTCTTTCAGTTTCTGGAGCACCTTTCTAAGATTTTCTGGATGTTCATCAAAACTCTTCCCGATGTGATGATGTCATCCAGGTATATCAGACAGGCATCGTAGGAAAGACCTTTCAAAACAGTCTCCATTAGGCGTTCGAATGTAGCCGATGCATTGCAGAGTCCAAATGGCATCACCTCGAACTGCCAAAGTCCTTGTTTGGTAGTAAATGCCGTCTTTTCTTGGTCATTAGGTCGAAAACCAATTGCTTCCAGAAAGAGTGTCCAGAATATCATCAAGTCTTGGAAGAGGGTAGCTGTCTTAATTCATAACCTCATTCAACCAGCAATAGTCCACGCAAAATCTAGTTAAACTGTATTTCTTTCTGACTAGAATGATGGGCGATGCCCATAGACCTGCTGGAGGCTCGATGACATTGCTTTCTTGCATATTATTTAAAAGTTTTCCTATCTCTTCCTGTTTAACAATCAGTTGAAGTCTTGGATGTTGCTTAATTGGTGGAGGATTCCCAGTATGCTGTGTCAAACTGGTTCGACCCACGTCAGAAGACGAGCAGGAGAAAACCTTATGAAATTCTTGAATGACACGTTCGGCAGCAATCCTCTCTCTATCACTTAATTCTGCAATAACTTCGATATAATGCCCTTTGAAAACACGGATTCTGGAATGTTTCTGTTTTGTTTAGTGGTCACTGGAGTACATGCTGAAACCATTTTACCTTTCTTAATCTTACTTAACTCTCACCTTGTCAGTTACATTGGCAACTCTCACCAGGTTAACGGTTCTCAATAGGTTGACGAGTGCTGAGGCTACTATTACTCCTTTTGGGCTGTTACAGTTCTTGGGATATTCCATGATGCCATAGCAGAAATTTTTATTTTCAGCTATCCAGGAAGTATTGTGACATCGTCTTGAGCTATGATTTGGTGGACAGATTTAAGTACTTCATTAT